GGTCGGGGCTGCTCCGGGTCAGGGGGTCAGTCCTGCCGGGGTCAGAGGGTCAGTCCTGCCGGGGTCGGGGCTCCTCGGAGTCAGGGGGTCGTTCCAGCCGGGGCTGCTAGGGGTCAGGAGGTTGGTCCGGCCGGGGTCGGGGCTGTTCGAGATCAGGGGGTCAGGTCGGGGTCGGAGCCGCCTGCGGTCACCGGCCTCCAGGAGACCTGGTGCCCGGTGCTGGTGTCCGGTCCCAGCTGCGGCGCGGTCCCGGGTTCCCTGGTCCCTTGGTCCCCCGATCCCCATCGCGGGTCTCCAGGATATGCCGCTCTCGGAGCCTGTGCGTCCGCATCATCCCTCAGACTCGCTCTCCTGTGTGACAGAGCTGGTTCGGGTTATACCGGGTGGAGGGCAGTTGGTAAGCGGCTGTCGCTGCACCTGCCGGATGCCCGATGCCCGGCGCTCCTGCGCGTCAGGTTACACTTCCAGGTGCCTCGTAGTCACCTTACATTTGGGCTCACGCTCAGTCTTTCTAGTTCTAGGGCACTTGTCTGTCGTTTCAAAATATGTTTGAAGCCCCCCAAAAAAGCAAAAACAAAAAAATCCCACTCAGAAAAACAAACTAACCTCTGTTACCACTCAGGGCAATCCTAGCGGGCACCGTTCTTGATGTGGATGATTGAAACAATGATCAAAACATGATTTCTGTGTGTTTGCCTGTTTTTAAAGATATTTATTTATTTATTTATTTATTTGACAGAGAGCGACACAGCGAGAGAGGGAACAGCAGAGGGAGAGGGAGAAACAGGCTTCCCACCGAGCAGGGAGCCTGGTGTGGGACTCTGTCCCAGGACCAGGATCATGACCTGAGCCGAAGGCAGATGCTTAACTCCTGAGCCACCCAGGCACCCCCAAAACATGTTTTTAAGGAGTTTTTATACAACTTACATGATTATAGTAAGAAAACAGGAACGTAGGAAGGACAGGGCTGGTACTCCTCTCCACCTGGGTAACCATAGGGACCGTGGTAGCCTTCCACGTTTGCTTCTAGGCTGTAACAACATAAAGAGCCATTCACTGTGGGAATGGGGTTTTTTTGGTTTGTTTTTCCAAAAATTGGTTCATATAAATATTTTATCACTTCCTCCTTTTTTTTTTTTTAACTTAACATTATACGGAGATACATTTCCAGAGCATTACTCACAATTCTAGTTCAGCGTAATCTGAATGTAGCAGGTGTCCAGGCTGTCGGTGTTCATTTACCTGTCGGTGGAAGGCCACGTTGATTCTAGTTTTCAGTTACCGCAAGGACACGGATAGGCAAGGGCACGCATGTGTGTGCACAAGTCCGGGTACTTTTATTTTTATAGAAAAGATTTCTACACGTGAGGCTAATGGATCAGACTGTACATACATCTTTCTAAATTGAGAGTCAAATTAACAGTACTCTTCTATGTTCCTTTGCTTTTTCAAGGAATGTAGTAAGAAAACAAAAACCGAGGACCAAGAGAATGCGTCAGTTGAAGTACCGAGTCTGGCCCAGGACAATGGAGAGGCAAGTAATTTCTCAGTTTCATGTTAGCCTGGAGTAAATGGCCGGGGCTGTTTTTCTCTTCTCAGAGGACTCCTGTCCCTGGCACACCACTGCTCTAAGACAGAACATAATGAAGTGGTGCCCCTGCAGGGGCTGCGGGCATGTGGGGCGGTCATTCCTCCCATCCAAGAACTGACGAAGCCCTGGGTTGGTCATTCCGAGGCACGTGACCCTCGAGACAGCAGTGCCAAGAGCAAGAGTTCTCAGAATACACACACCCAGCCGAAACTGACTGAGTGAAAAACAAAGGAAAATATCATCTTTAGTCACTGATTGGAAATAGTGGTATAATATTTAAATCTCCAATTTTTTTTTTAAGATTTTATTTATTTATTTGACAGAGAGAGACCACAGTAGGTAGAGAGGCAGGCAGAGAGAGAGGAGGAAGCAGGCTCCCCGCAGAGCAGAGAGCCCAATGTGGGGCTCGATCCCAGGACCCCGGGACCATGACCTGAGCCAAAGGCAGAGGCCTCAAGCCACCCCGGGACCATGACCCGAGCCAAAGGCAGAGGCCTCAAGCCACTGAGCCATCCAGGCGCCCCTCCAATTTTTTATTTTTTTTTAAAGATTTTATTTATTTATTTGTCAGAGAGAGATCACAAATAGGCAGAGAGGCAGGCGGTGGGGTGGGTGGGAAGCAGGCTCCTCGCTGAGCAGAGAGCCCGATGTGGGGCTCGATCCCAGGACCCTGAGATCATGACCTGAGCTGAAGGCAGAGGCTTAACCCACTGAGCCACCCAGGCGCCCCTGCCCCTCCAATTTTTTAAAAGAAAAATTTCACTCTGTAAAATGGGAGTTTGGGTAGGTAATTTATAAAAGAATCCAAATCTCATGATCCTGTAAGTTTATTTTTCCAGTGGTTTCTTCCCTAACTCCATTCTTGAGGGTTTAAATCCTTCTTAGCTAGCAGCGATGGCTTAAGTTTATTGGGTAGGGGAGGTCACTCTTCAGTGTGCCAGTGGTCCTGACTTCACTTATGGAGAGCTGGCAGCGTGGGAGAAACAGCAGCAGGTTTTGCTTTAGTCTCTTGGTGCCAACACAAGGCCTGACCTGGCAGGAGCTGATCTCGTCCGTCTCATACCAGCTCTGCTCTGTGCTCTGGCACCTTAGGGCTTGGCAAGCAGCAGATGAAATGGGCACCCAGGGCGCAGAGGCAGAAGTAGCAGGGAGCACTTGGCGCCTCCCACAGCTGCCCTCTGGCCACATCACCTCGGACAGACATCTAAACCCGGGAGCCCCGGTTTCCTTATCAGTGACCTGGGGAGTTGGGTCCCTTCCCTGTCAGGGCTGTGGTAATACAGAGATAAGGTATGCACACAGCCTCAGCAGGCATCTTGCCAGTGTGGTGGGTGGAACCCCAGTAGGGTGAGCAGCTCAGGGGCGGGGTGCATTCACCAGGAATGGGGAGGTGTGGACAGAGTGGTCTGGGGCAGGAGACAGATCATAAGTGGGGGCAGGTGGCTTAAGGCAGCTAGCACAGGAGAAAATGAAGGAAAGGACCTGGGAGACAGGGCGGTGGGGGGCCCAGGCAGGCCACCGCAGTGCTGAAAGCAGGAAAGCGGGTGTGGCACAGGAAGCTGAGTGCAGTTTGAGGTCCACAGGCATGGAGCTCTATGGGGCTTGGGAAAGGAGACGGCTCCACCGGAGGTGAAGATGGGACAGGTGTCGGGGCTTGTAGGAGCTGGCACTGCTCTGGGAGCCGAGGCTGATGGCAGAGAAGGGGCGATGGACAGTGTTCCACAGGATACACATGTTTAGGAGACCAGAGGAGGTGGAAGGAACAGGACAGTGGGAAGGAACCGGACCCAGCCCAGGAGAGCGTGCAGAAAGGAGAAGCGTGCGGTGCGTAGCGCGCTGGGCATGGAGGAAGTCCCGCCGGAGCAGCACAGAGAGCGCGCACGGGCACCTCTGCCGGGCCAGAGGGCCAGGATTCTCCTAGCCGCACAGCAGTGTCTACTAGGCCCCAGCTGTGTGCCGGGCCACGTGCTCCAGACCCTTGCATTGGTGCTTTGGCCCACCTGGGAGCTTGTTGGAAACTCTTGGGCCCCATTCAAACCTCGGGAAGCCAGGCTGCTGACGTCCTTGGGGAGCTGTGGGCCTTGATGAGCTCACCAGGGAGTACAGAGTAGGCCAAGAGCGGGAATCCCCAGGGGCAAAACAGAAGGGGACAGAGGGACGAGAGGCACTGGGCCAGCTCCTAAGACACAGGAATGTGGATTTCTTCCAGCCATGTGACAGTGCTGTCCTGTTCTCACCCTGGATTGTCCTCAGTGTGACTCCTTGATATCACTGTGGCCTATTCTACCCCCTCCGGCACCCGGAGCTCCAGGCCTGGCTCTGTCTTGTCCAAGATGACCCGTGTCTGTGTTCGTGTTGGTCTCCTGCTGTCCTTCTCCCCAGAGAGGCACATGTTTTAGTCTTTATTGGAGAATCAGACCAAAACTCCTTCTTCATAGGCGGGAGAATTCCATAAATTGGCCGATGCCAAGATCTTTCTGAGTGACTGCCTGGCATGTGACAGCTGTGTGACAGCGGAGGAAGGAGTCCAGGTTTCCCAGCAGAATGCCAAGGACTTCTTTCGAGTTCTGAACCTTAATAAGGTAGGGCTCCTGGGCACTTGCTGGTTCTGTGGTCTGGGGGCAGGAGGTGAGGGTGAGGCATGGAAGTCTCTGCTGGGCACCGGGCACGCGTCTTGGCCCCGGCCCCATGTCCCTTGCTGGTGTCACGTCTCTCCAGAACCCCTGCCCAGGGTCATGTTCCCTCACTAACGTGATATGAGGCAAGGTCCCTAGTCCGTTCCTAGAGGCAAGGTTCTGGTCCGATGGGCTTTTCAGGCTGGGGCAAGGCCGTGGTCCCTCAGCTGTCCTGTAGAGCTGTGTCACTCAGCTTTGGAGAGGTGAGAGGAAGGGCAGGTGAGCCAGAGGGGCTGAAGCATACCTGGGTTTGCCCCTCGCTCCTGGCCACGCTCAGGAAGCCCGGTCACAGCCCAGCCTGCCTGCAGCAGCGCAGGTGCCCCTGGGAGCTCCCCCCGCCGTCTCGAGAACAGCCAGTGTGCCAGGGCCAGGCAGAGCCCATGAGCAGTGTGGGCTGCACGTGGGCGCCGCGGCACAGAGGACAGAGCCCGGCGGCGTCGTGCGTGTCTACTGCCACCCCTGTGGCGTGCTTCTGGGACATCATCCAGCATTTTTAGGTCACAGTTTCAGAGAGAAATATTTGTCTTCCTGTCGTCAGCAGTGCGTCGGTTCCCTTCCTGGTGGTCGGGTTCCCCGGGAGGCCCCCGAGTGAGCGGCGGTCCCCACCTGGTCCTGCTTGTCCTTCTCTGAACAGAATGGCTTTTGCTCTGTTACGACATTGAACAGACTCGGCTCATGTGTGAGGCAGCCTAGCTCCTCCCCGTGGCGACAGCTTGATTCAGTGGGAAGTTCTACTATTAAGTGGATGTTTATAGAAACTTCCGGTCGATGTGCATTCCAGTCAGCATTACCGCTGCAGAAGCGGACATGAAGAAGAAGGAAATGGTTATTTCGCGAAACTGGACGGAGGGGAGGCTCCGGGTCGGTTGAGCTAGCTGCTCCCGCTGCCGTCGGGGGCACCGCAGTTTCCCTTTCTCCGCTGCCTGTGGGCCTGGGTGCTGTCTGCTCCCCCGCTGGTCACAGAGCGGCTCCCTCAGAGAGGGGACGTTTGAGTGAGAACAGTGTGAGGCCTGGAGACCTCCCGGGCTGGGCATCAGGTGGAAGGATTGGAAGCACTGAGTCTGGCTCCTAGAGCTGGGGACAGACGACCCTCTGCCCTCCCACTTCTGTTAGCAGCTGGGACTCACAGGCCCCCGGCCCCTGCCTCCGCACTCTGCTGGGCTGCGTTCAGAAGCTAAACTTGCTGACAGTGTCTGACCCACGCAGCTCTGTCGTGGTAATCCCGTGTGTCCGCTGAACGCCAGGTTAGAGGGTCACGTGGGAGACCTTCTGACGCCGGCGTCCTCACCTGTGCTGCCCTCCTGGGTCATGGCCCTTGTGTTGCTGCTGAATTGTTCGTGTTTTTCTCGGGAGTTCCTGAGCTGCCACTGTCAGTTTTCACTCAGGGTGTTGATAGCCTTGTGGTTTCATGTTTACACAATAATTTTTTAAAAGTTTTTTTAATTTTTTTTGTCAGAGAATGAGCACAGGCAGGGGAAGCAGCAGGCAGAGGGAGAAGTGGGCTCCCTGTTGAGCAGGGAGCCCGATGTGGGGCTCCATCCCAGGACCCCAGGATCATGACCCGAGCTGAAGGCAAACGCTTCACTGACTGAGCCCCCCAGGCGCCCCATACAGTATTTTTTAGAACAGTTTATAGAAGGTGAGCATGATCCACTCCTTAAAAACATCCTGCAGTTTGGGGATCCTGGGTGGCTCCGTCAGTTAAGTGTCTGAATCTTGGTTTCAGCTTTGGTTACGATCTTGGGTTCATGAGATCAAGCCCTGTGTCAGGCTCTGTGGTGAACATGGAGCCTACTTAAGTTTCTCTCTGTCGCCCTCTGCCCTACCTCTGCTCTGTCTCTTTCTCTCTCCTTAAAAAGAAAAAATGTATACATACATACATACATGCATACATACCCCACAGTTTGCCATAATGACCAGGGATTGAGGTCCTGTGGGGACAGATCTCCAGACACTGTTCCAGTGTGTGTATATTCTAATTGAAATACGCTGGTGTGTGTGTCTTTAAATTGTTATTGGGTCATTTCACTTATTTATGGGCCAATATTTAATATTTATTTTTCCTTTAGAATTATCCACTTTTGTTCAGGTGTTCACATTTATCGATAGAATATTGTTTTTAAAAATTGATGAAATCTCTAGGGGCGTCACACTTCTTAATCCTAATTTTTTCCCTTAATTATATTTGCTAGTGCGAGTGTATTTTATCACTGTTTTCATAGAACACTTACTACATTCTGTTTGACTGGAGTTTTCATTATGGTGTCTTACTTCACTCTGCGTACCCAGCACACGTATCGCTCTCTCCTCTGTTTCCCCCAGAAATGTGATCGCTCACAGCACAAAGTGCTGGTAGTGTCAGTGTGTCCTCAGTCTCTGCCTTATTTTGCCGCCAAATTCCACCTCAGCGTGACGGATGCATCTAGAAGACTCTGCGGCTTCCTCAAAAGTCTTGGTGAGGCACCTTGATACTGTCGTGAGTCTACGGGGCCAGCCGACAGCTGCCCTCTGTATCTCCAGTGTTCAGCTCCCCGGGGCACAGCGTAGACCAGGACCTCCACCAGCATCTCGAGGAATGTGAGAGGACCCAGCCTCCGCCCTGCAGGAGGCGGGCACCCCTCACCCCCTTACTGTGCAGGCGGGTGTTGCGTGAGGTCTGTGGCTGGCCCTCCGGGAGCAGCGGGTGATGGGGTGGCGGGGACATGTGGGAGACTCCGGGGCTTTCCAAGGAGTGTGGTGTCATCTCAGCCCCAGGGCCCACAGAGGGCTGGGATAAGCCTAACCATGGCAAGAGGACCGGCATCCAGTTTTCCAGGTGCTCTCCGGAGAGCAGAGCAGGGAGGGAACGGGCTATCTCCCTTGGTCCCTCTCAAACGTGCCCAAGAGCTCAAATGTGAATGAGCTGGAATGGAACCATCCAGAGTAGTGATGGGCAGGCTCCTGTGTCGTCCACTGCTATCGGCCTGCCCAGCCCCGAGCCCCTAGCCCACCCCCGCTCTGTGCAGCGTCTGCCACCCTGGGCTGTCCTCCTGCACAAGACCACCAGGCAGGCTCAGGAGAGGAGAACTGGAGGCATTTGCCAACATGAGTTTTGGTTTTTCTGCAGTGGCGTCTTTTTTTTTTTTTTTTTTAAAGATATTCATTTATTCATGAGCGACAAATAGGGAGAGAAAGGCAGAGGCAGTGGGAGAAGCAGACTCCCCAAGGAGCAGGGAACCCAACACAGGGCTCCATCCCAGGACCCTGGGATTATGACCCGAGCCGAAGGCAGACACTTAACCAACTGAGCCACCAAGTCGCCCAGTGGATTCTTTTTTTGTTGTTGTTTTTGTTTTTTGTTTAAGATTGATTTATTTAGGGGCACCTGGGTGGCTCATTCGTTAAGCATCTGCCTTCGGCTCAGGTTATGATCCCAGGGCTCTGGGATCGAGTCCCGCACTGGGCTCCCTGCTCAGCGGGAGGCCCGCTTCTCCCTCTCCCACTCCCCCTGCTTGTGTTCCGTCTATCGCTGTGTCTCTCTTTGTCAAACAAACAAACAAAAAAAAGATTGATTTATTTATTTTAGAAAGAGTGTGTGTGCGAGCATGCCAGCTGGGGGAGGGGCAGAAGGAGAGGGAATCCCAAGCGGACTCCCTGCTGAGCACAGAGCCTGACACGGGGCTCAGTCTCTAGACCCCAAGATCATGACCTGAGCCGAAACCAGGAGTCAGATGCTCAACCAGCTGAGCCACTGAGGCGCCCTGCAGTGGCTTTTAAAGACCTAAACACGTGGAGGGTTACTAAAAAAATACGGTGACACTTGGAATAAGCCCCTGGTCCTTGGGGCACTTTGCATGGTTCCTGTACGCACTGCTGCCAGACTGGGCCACGGGGCCAAGTGCCCGTGGGGCCCTTCCCTCAGGCTTGTGATCTGAGAAAGCTTCAGGTGGGCTTGGCTTTACCGAAGACCAGAGTTTCTGGATACTGTCTCTCATACTGAAAGGCCCTATTTGGGGAGACAATTTTTTTTTTTTTAAGATTTTATTTATTTATTTGACAGAGAGATCACAAGCAGGCAGAGAGAGAGGAGGAAGCAGGCTCCCTGCTGAGCAGAGAGCCCGATGCGGGGCTCGATCCCAGGACTCCGAGATCATTACCTGAGCCGAAGGCAGCGGCTTAACCCACTGAGCCACCCAGGCGCCCCATGGGGAGACAATTTTTTAAAGAGTGGGGCATTAGATATTAGTAAAACATATCCACAGTGAACCTGACTTAAGTGTCATCTTAAAACATTACCTTATGTTTTATAATTTTTAAAAGAAATTATCTAGTTGCAGATATTAAGGTTATTTAATTCACTTTGCTGTAATTATTAAAAGTATAATGTTTTGTCTCGGGCTTATGTGCCAGTATTAAGAAAACTTATTTTAAAGATAGCTAAAAAGAGGCACCTGGGTGGCGTAGTCATTTAAGCCTCCAACACTTGATTTCGGCTCAGGTCATGATCTCAGGGTTGTAGGGTTGAGATCCACGTCAGATCTGGGCCCAGACTGCGGCTCTCTCTCTGGCTCTGCCCCTCCCGCTGCTTGCACTCTCTCTCTCAAATAAGATCTTTCTTAAGAAAGAAATGCTAAAATCTTTAAAAAGAAGAAAAGAAATAGTTACAAATCAGCATAAAAATTATGGCCATCAGAAAGGGATGGGCTGCCAATTTACTCTATTTTTTTTTTCAAGATTTTATTTATTTATTTGACAGAGATCACAAGTAGGCAGAGCGGCAGGCAGAGAGAGAGGGGGAAAAGCAGGCTCTCCACCAAGCAGAGAGCCCGATGCAGGGCTCGATCCCAGAACCCCGAGATCATGACCTGAGCCGAAGGCAGATGCTTAACCCACTGAGCCACCCAGGCGCCCCTACTCTATTTATTTTAAAGAGATCAAGGATCATCAGACTGAGATCTAACCTCTGACCAGAAACGAGTGCTGCGGGTTCCATGTAATCTCATGTTACCGTTATGGCTGCTGTGAGGTTTTGCATCAGTATAGATGTAGAGAGAACAGGAGGAAGCCAGAGAGAAAACATACATATTTTATAGTGAAAAATGATCCTGTTTGTTGTTTGAAGAAGAAGGTGAGGCACGGTCCTGGGCTTATGCAGTCTGTGGTATAGACAAGGTAAGAGGGAGGCACAGAGCTCGGGGTGCTGTGGAGTCTGCAGACTCGCCGGGGTCCCAAGATAGGTGACGAGAAGCTGAACGCGCCCTCTTTCCCGCAGGGGTGCACTACGTCTTCGATACAGCAGTAGCCGCGGACTTCAGCATCCTGGAGAGCCAGAAGGAGTTCGTGCGCCGGTACCAGCAGCACAGCAAGGAGGAGCCCGCGCTGCCTATGCTCACCTCCGCCTGTCCCGGTGAGCGCCCAGGGCCAGCGGCCCTGCCTCCGTGCGCCAGAGGCACCATTTCTCACAAGTCTGCCTTGGGGGCAGGTGCGCAGATGGGTGAGGTCAGAGGTCACAGGCCCAACGCACTGGGCGTCCTAGACCTGGAGGGAGTGGAGTATTGGTGGGGACCCCCGCAGGTCCACTCCAGAGCCCCCCACCTCACTCAGCCCCTGCCTGGTGCACACCAGCCACCCCCCCACTCCCAATCCGGCCTGATACTTGCTGCATCCAGGGTCTTAAGCCCTTTAAGTCTGTTTATGTGTAGGTTTGGAGGTTCTAGAATGTTCTTCCTAAATGATGATGCACTCTCCCTGGGGAGTTCTTTATCCCCAAGTGTGTCAGAACTATAACTGGTTCAGCTTCACATCACCTCTCAAATTTAGGGACATGAGGTGAGATTCGGTTCAAAACTAACCCTCGTCTACAGTCAGTGTTGTCCTTTTTGCTTCTCAATGACCGTAAGGACATGAAAGCAACATCAAGGTCAGATGATCTGACCTGGTAGATGGGATCAGGGCTGTGGGCAGGCCTGTGCCGGCTCGCGGGGCGTCTTCCTCACGCAGGGTTCTGGGTCTTGGGGTGCCCTTGCTGCCCACAGACTGACAGGTGTCTCCTGTGGGGTGTACTTCTGCAGAGCTGGGCACCTCGTGCCAGGCCTCTTCTCCAAGTATGTCCCCTCTTGTCCCGGCCTGTCATTGGTGGCCCAGGGGAGCGGGGAGTCTGCAGTGCTGCAAGAAAGAGCCAGCACCGAGGTAGGACGTGAGGGCTGTTGTCATCCCCTGCTGCTGTGAAGCCCACAGCCACTTCTCTGTTCTCCTGACTCCATGGGAGCCAGCAGGGGCTGTCCAGGGCACAGGCTGGTGTGTCTGCTCCCGGCCAGTGTCGAGTAACAAGTTTCCGATCACAGGTCTCCTCAGGAAAGTGCTGACCTGTCTGGTTTCAGATGCAGGGCACCATGGACTCTGGGACCCTGATTCCTCCTCCCCGTCCCTGCTCAGTCCTCTTCCCCACCCCCGGGGCTGTGCATCCTCCGTGGGTTCCGGCCCTTACCTCCTACTGTTTGGCGTGATGTCCGGTGCCTCTGGCTGCTCCACATCAGCTTGCCTGCAGCACCGAGGTGCCCTCCGCCAGGGAGCCTTGTCTGCAGGTGCTGGCCTGGCACTGAGGCCGGGTGGGCGGGGCCTTGCCAGGCCTGCCGTGCAGTGGGAGGGGCCTTGGGTCCCCAAAGGCTCCATCGCGCTTGGCAGGTTTTTGTGTTCATCGTCCAGAGGCAAGGGGTAGCGAGAGTCCTGCCGTGGCCGCTCCCCTCGGAGCTTCCGTGGTCGCCGCGGACGTTTTCCTTTGCGCACTCAGGCCCGCGTGCCACGCGCGGCTGCGGTCGGCGTTTGCTCAGACAGGGTTGCCGCGTCGCCGGACGTGCCTGCTGCTGCTCCTGGCCGGCAGCGGTCAGAGGGAGGTGGCCGGCGGTCCCCGGGGTCCGATGAGCAGCTTTGCACGCGCCGTGGTGCTGTGGTGGGGACTCCTGTCCGTAGGGTCGGCCTCTCACCAGGCTGTGCCCAGGAGGTGAAGGATGCGAGCCCCGCCTCCTGCAGGCCTTCTCTGACCCGCGTTCCCCGTACAGCACCGCTGTGGGGGACCGCGGCCCACAGCAGCCCTCGGTGGCTCAGGAGATGCTCAGTACCAGGCCAGGTGCTTAGGCGGAGACCCCGTGTGCTCTCTGGACATCACCCGGGCCTGTGGAATTCTGTCCTTGCCCTGAAGAGGGGCAGTTGTTGGTTGGTATCTTGCTATAGGCTTTGTGGCCGCTGGCAGCAGCACAGTGGGAGGCCGGGTGCCCTGGGACGGTGCCGCACGGCTGCTCCGTGAAACTTGTTTTCTGCACCAGTTTTCACTTCCTTCCGCTGCATCCTCTTTGGTCAGGGGCTGGCAGGGCCATCTTCCAGTCTAGGGCATATGCACCTGGGGTCCGTGGGGCCCAAGGTGCCACGAATTCCCGGGAAGGTCAAAAGAAGAGGTGTCTGGCTTTCCCCCCAAGTGACAGGGTCTGGGAGCTCAGAACTCCTCGTGTATGATAGAAAGGAGAAGGAAGCCCTACGAGGAGCTGACGGGGGGGCTGTTCTCTCCCCAGGCTGGGTCCGATATGCCGAACGGGTGCTGGGCCACCCTGTTACTCCACACCTCTGCACCGCCAAGTCTCCCCAGCAGATCATGGGCTCCCTGGTGAAGGATTACTTCGCCAGACGGCAGGTAAGCCAACCGCCTCCCAGAGAGCAGCACGCGGGCTAGGAGATGGTGGATGTCCCCACCAGGCACAGTGAAGGTGGTCTTGGCCTCAGATCGAGTGGAAACACTGTCTCTCCTGGTAATGGGGGGCCCCGGAGATGATTGCAGTGAAGAAGGCCCTGTGTGGGGTCCTGGCCTGTCCCCAGACCACAGTGAGTAGGCATGTGACTCCTTTAGCCACTTCTGCCTTCACATGGTGGGAAAACTCCCAGGCAGGCACCTGAAGGCCTTCCCACACCCCTCACCTGCTGCGTATCCCCCCTGTGTGTGGCACCTGTGTTTAGCTGGTCCCTGTGCTGTACCTCCCCACTGCAGGCCCCCACTCCAACCCCCTGCCTGCCATCTAGGGCCACCTCAGGAGCCCTGGCAGCGGCCAGGCCTGGTTCCTGCCGGAGGCCCCCAATACCTCAGTGGTGTCCGTGATGTGGCCCCCTCTTGTGGTCGGGTCTCCAGCTGCCAGGGTGCCCACAGTCCCCCTCAGATGACACATCTCTCCAGGGAACCAGTGAGGTCTGGCCCTGGAGACACTGGAGGACACAGCAGAGTGAGGGATCCCACAGACCCAAAGCTTTAAGAAGCCACATGCTTTGACACCCTCGTGCACTTAGGGTGCAGGAAAAGGAGCTGTGGGACCTTTTCCCTTGTGCTTGTCCCGTCCCCACTGTTTGGGGGAATCCGGGAGTTTGCCAGTCCTAGAGGGTAACCGGGCCTGTGGGCCTGCTGAGGGACAGCCGGGTGGTCTCCTCAGGCTCTGCCTTGCGTGGGGCCATTCTGCCGAGGCCTCGCCACACATGTCACTCAGCAACTGCCCGCTCATGGTGTGGCTGCTGATTCCGCTACAGGCAGCAGAGGAGCGTCCTGAATATGTGTCCCTTGGGAAGTTTCCGGAAAGTTTGAGGGTCAGCCAGCCCAGGCGACGGTCCCACAGTGCCTTATCCTTTTTGGCGTTTGGTCAGCATGTGCACAGGTCTAGGGCAGGCGGGTTCAGCCCTTGGCGGCTCTCCCCCGGCATCTCCGGCTGCCGGACCTTCTGGGCTCTGGGTGGCTCGGCCCCATCCAAAGTGAGGCGGCTCTGCGGGGGGCCGGTGCAGCTGGGAGGCAGGCCCGGGGCACAGCTTGGTCTGCAGGAGGCCGGGCCGGGACCCAGAGTGGCCTCAGCACATGGGAGTGCACCTGGGGAGGGGATTTTGGGCACCAGCTCTTAGCTGGCCTCCTCATTTCCCCACAGCCCCAAGCAGGGTTTGCCCTTTCTTCCCAGAACCTGTCTCCAGACAAGATCTTCCACGTTATCGTGGCTCCTTGCTATGATAAGAAACTGGAGGCCCTTCGAGAAGACTTGCCCACCGCTTCCCATGGCTCCCGGGGTGCTGACTGCGTGTTAACTTCAGGTGAGGGGTGGGCGGGCAGGGTATGCCTGGGGCCTCTGGCCAGTCGTCCTCTGAGGTCCCAACAGGACCCCCGGGGGTTTGACTGAAGGGAAGTAGGGGGGCAGCGTTCCCATGGCTTGACGTCCCATGTGAGACGGAGGCTCTACCAACCGACTGGACCTGCACGTGGCAACACGGGGACTTTTTTTTATTCAGAGTCAAGTGGAGGCCCATGGGGCTCCAGTGACCTTGCCAGCAGCTCCCACAGAGTGCGCTTGGCGGAGAGCCTGCAGCAGGTTCTGTGTGATGGGGCAGAAGTGATTCTCTGGTGTCCTCGAGAGCCGTTCAGTGGGACACTGCCGTTGGGGGGTGGCTTATGTCTGCGAACCCCGTCCCGCGTCGGCAGGGCAGCCGGCTCTCGGGGGCAGAGACTCCTGGGTGTGGGTCCCTCCAGCGTGAGGACCTGAGGACGGTCTCTGCTTCCCTGGTAGCCGGTGGGTTTGCGTGAGAACCGCACGCCAGCCTTGCTCGGGCACAGTGCCAGCTTTACTGTTCTATCCCGTGTTGAGTCACTGCATGTGCATGTGATGCCACGGCAGTGGGTAGCAAGGGTTTCTGGGGGCCCTGGTGTAAACAGAAGTGGGAAAGTGGTTCTGATTCTCAGTTCATCTTTGCACACCACCGACCTCCACATAAATGCAGCCACTGTGTCCTGGTCCTTTGTCCACAGGTGGTTATACACAGGTGTTTTCTGCTTCAGAAACAAAAATATGGAGAGATTGTTGGCAAAAGCATCCCTTGTTTCAAGGGCAGAAGGTGGACTTGGACTCTTGAGTTTTACCAGAATTTTTCACATGCTAGCATTATGCTGCGCCAGATGGGTTCCTGCCCTCTGTATGGGTGACCGTGCCCAGGGTCACCTTAACAGATGCTCCCGTGGGGGAGATAACCTTGGAAGCAGCTCCTCAGGAAGCCTGATGTCCCTCTGGCATGGGCCATGTGGCTCCTTCCACCGTGCCTTATGCCGCCTCTTTGTCTGTAGGTGAGGTCGTTCAGATGATGGAGCAAAGTGACCACGCAGTGAAAGACGCTGCCGTTGACACTCTGTAAGTGACTTTTGCAGGGAGGGGCACCTTGTGGGTGGCCTCCCTTCTTCCTGACGAGGCCATGGGCAGCAGAGAGACGGGGGTGTGGGGGTGTCTGACCTGGGATTGCCACTTCCTGTGTCGTGGCTTGTCCCCCACCATGACCCTTGGTCATCCTCGCAGCTCTCCAGCAGAACACCAGCCGGGCCCTGGTGTGCGGTGCCACCCGCTAGGGTGTGGGGATTTGGGTTTCCGTGGGGATATTTACGTGTCCACGCCCTCCACCTCTGAATTCTGTGTGTTCCTGGTGTTGTGCATCTGGACCTGCCCAAGGGTGGGTCACCTTTGGGTAAGAACAGCTCCCCCACGTCTCTGCGTGTTGAGAGCACTGGGCCGGGGTTCTGTGGTCCTGGTGTTCCGAACCTACAGCTGGCGCTCCCCTACATGCAGGCCTTGGGCTCCGGCTGCTGAGCAGTGGCAGCCCTCGCGTGGGAGGCCACCCTGAGGCGCACAGAACCGACGGCCACAGAGTCTGTGGCCAGAGCCCATGCGTGTCCCCACTGGGGCATGTGTGCGCAGAGTCCCAGCTCTGGCCCGAGTGCCGTGGTCTTGGGGAATACGCGGACGCCGGGCGGCAGAGAGGACAGCGACCAGCCCAGCGCACTGAGCGAGGCTCTGCCTGCTGCTTGGGCCGCGCAGTCGCAGGGACTCTTCATGTTGGTTGTTAAAACTCAGCAACGTGTAAATATCTGTAAAAGGTTTCTCTTTTCACGGGGAATCCTGAATCTGGGAGTCTGAGTCCTGCTTGGGTCGCTGTCTGCCTGGCCAGGTTCGGAGGCCCGAAGGAGGAAGAGGTGAGACGCCATGACGGGGCCGGCTCGGACGGGTACCTGGCGCACGTCTTCAGACACGCGGCCAAGCAGCTGTTCGGCGAGGACGTGGGGGAGGTCACCTACCGCACCCTGAGGTCTGCCTGTGCGCTCAGCACCGCTGTCCCGGGCACGCTGCCCCAGCCAGTGGGCGCGCACGCGTGTGGCGTGTGCGTGCTCGTGTGAGCTGGGGTGGGGCTGGCTTGCTGACGGGGTTTGGAATAGCCAAGACCAAAGTGCTGTTTTATTCCCATTTTTGATTTTGCTACCATCTCAAACTTAGACTGGAAAACGATTGTCTGCCGCAGAGGAAGGATGCAAAAGATGCTGTAGATTAAAGTCCATCTGTTGGGATGCCTGGGTTGCTCCGTGGGTTAAGCGTCTGCCTCCCTGATCCCAGGGTCCTGGGATTGACCCCAGGTCCGGCCTCCTGCTCAGCGGGGAGTCTGCTTCTCCCTCTCCCTCTGCCCCTTCTCCATGCTTGGGCTCTCTCTCAGTCTCTCTCTCTGTGTCTCAGTTAAAATAAAGCCTTCAGGAGACAAACCCCGCTGTGTTCATCTCACAGGAACAAAGATTTCCAGGAGGTCACCCTCGAAAAGAACGGGGAGGTTCTGTTACGCTTCGCTGCGGCGTACGGCTTTCGAAACATCCAGAACGTGGTTCTGAAACTGAAGAAGGGCAGGTTCCCATACCACTTCGTGGAGGTGCTCGCCTGCGCTGGGGGTAAGACATGGGGTCTGGCCACACTGCCCCCAGCGTCCTTTCACGGCCCCCCACAACCCCTTATGAAGCAGGCCCTCCCGGGTTACCCCAAGCCTTGCCCGTTCTAACAGCTCTGCGGGACTACGGAGGCTGCCCTTGTGGTTCTGACACAGTGGTCCCTCTCCATCCCTCACCACAGAGTAGAAAAGCCAGGTGTCCCCTTAGAAGACCCCTGGGGACATGGTCCCAGAGAAGAGCTGCTCGTGAGAGCCTGATCTTGGTTCAGATGGCCCCACCAGTAGCCAGGTTCTTTCCTGAGGGACAGAGGCAGGCGGGGGAGGTCCACATGGGAAATGGAGGCTGACAGGAGGCTCCAGGGCCGGGGTTCCACAGCAAAGGCCAGGGACTTGCTGGTGGAATAGGTACCAGTGTCCAGGGAGAGGATCCCATGGCCTCCGGTAGCTGTGGGATCACCTGCGCCCTACGGAGCAGGGAAGGCCTGCAGGTTTCCAGCCCGAGGAGAGGGGGCGTGGCCAGGGCGCCGACAACCTGCAGCGCCTCGGAGGGCGTGTGGGGCTGCGGGGGGCAGACCCAGTGAGGAGGAGGCAGCGGGCGAGCTGGGCCCGTGGCAGGGGGCGGGGTGTCCAACTCCCCTGAGCCATGGGTGGGGGCTGGCAGACTCACCTGAGCCCTGACAGCGGGGGAGCCGGGGGCAGGGATCTGAGGAGAGGAGCAGACCGTGGGAGACTGGGCTCCCTGGGAAGGTAAACAGGATCTCCTGCCATGGCTCAGCGTCTTCGAGATTCAAGATCAAACGTGTAGCTGGTGGAGGGCGCTTGGGGCGCTCAGTCAGGGAAGCCTCTGCCTTTGGCTCAGGTCAAGATCCCAGGGTCCTAGGATGGAGCCCCGAGTCAGGATCTCTGCTCAGCGGGGAGCCTGCTTCCTCCCCTCCTCTGCCGCTCCCCCTCGCTCGTGCTTTCTCAAATAAATAAATAGAACCGTTTTAAAAAATAACAAAATAAAATCTTTAAAAGGAAAAAAAGGCACAGCTGGTGGGTGCTGCTAAGGGACCAGTAGAGAGGGGCTCGGCCAGGGTGGCAGCTTGCTACAAATTCTTTTCAATGAACTTAGCCCTATAAATCCTGGCATCATTTAATAAGCTGAGAGGAAACAGCACCAGGACGTGGGAGTTGTGCCCTTTCTCCAGGCAGTGGCGCTCGGGTGCATGGGCTCCCATGGGGGCTCGCGGATTCCCGCGCCCTCCCTGGTGCCGTGCAGCCCTCAGAGACGCCCGCAGTGTGGCTGCCCCAGTCACCGTCTTCTTGCTCTTCTGCACGTCCCGATAGGTGTCCATGGCCAGCCAGTCCTAGAGGATGACCGCTTACTTCACTTTTAGGTAAAAAACGTTTCCTGGATAACGTATGTTAAAAGTACGAAGCGTAAGGGGCTGTGAGCCCATAACCAGGGCTCTTGAGGCCTCCGGGGCCCCACGTCCAGAGTCCAGCTCCAGACTCTGGCCCCATGGTGCTGCACAACGCCGTTGTTCCTTTCCTGCTCTAGAACCATCCCCTTTAAAGCGGAAGGAAGAAGAGCATCAGCTCCCTGCTTGTCTTTCAGGCTGTCTGAGTGGCAGAGGCCAAGCCCAGACCGAGGACGGGAGGGCAGACAAGGCGCTGCTGCGGCAGATGGAAGGCATCTACGCGGACATCCCTGTGCGGCCCCCCGAGACCAGCGCCCACGTGCAGGAGCTGTACCAGGAATGGCTGGACGGGGCCGACTCCCCCAGAGTCCAGGAAGCCCTGCACACCATGTACCAGGGCGCAGGGCTCCCCGCGGGCAGCCGGGACATCAAGTGGTAAAGGTCAAGCCGGCTGCCAGGGAGGGAGGCGCGGCTGAGCGCGGGCCCGAGACCCTGCAGGAAAACGGCTCGGCTTCTCGGTTGCTACCTTGGTTTTCAGAATTCTCTACCCTCTTTGCTGGTGGTTCCCTCTCTGTTTGATGTGGTGCTATCTTTGTGACGTGTGCGACTGCAGGGAGTATTTTGACCTGAGAGAAGGATTGCCCCAATTTAAGTATCCTTTTAAGACTGAACAATATCCCAAAGAACAAGAATGAAGACAAACCACTATCTTTTAGGCTTAAAAGAAATCCAAAAAGTGTCCTGTGAAGAACTAAGACCCCAGAAGCTCAGGCTCGTCTGCCTCAGAGAGACGGCGTGAGGAGGTGACAGGAGGCGGCTGCTGTGGGGTCTGCCCAATTCGGCTCTCATTTTACCCACTTCACGTTACTCCTGAATGTTTTTGCCAGAATGTGAGTCAGTTGCGTCCTTTTGGAACTGGGAGCGGATACACAAGTCTGGATTTCCAGCTTTCCTGGCAGCAGTGGGCCACGTGTCTCACTGCTGCGGTGCCAGAGTGTGGCGGGCAGCAGCCCCTCCTGGGACCAGACCTCTAAGCCAGGGGCTCCGTGGCTGCGGGTGCTGTAGGGCCCAGACACGCACCCGCCCATTCAGCCCTTAAGGGGAGCGCACCGTGAGGCGGGGGAGGCCTGGCGAGGTTGCCGGCTCTCTACGGACGGGAGGACGGAGACGGGGCAGAGATGGGCTACCCGTGTAGGCCAGGCCGTGTGATCGAGGGGTGCTCCCCTCCGTCCGTCCTGATGCCGCTGCGGTCCTGCCTCCCCCAGCCTGTGCTTCCCGAGGGGCGCTCGGGCAGCCCGTGCTGCTCCGCAGAGAAGGAAAGGGGTGAACGGCAGCCCCACAGGCGGGGCCGGCAGCGGCCGGAACACAGACGCGCGCTCCAGGTCCGGGCTTGTCCCCGAAGTGCGAGACCTCCGCAGAGGGCTCGGGTATCGGGAACCCGAATGACGACGCTCCTCTCGACCCCTCCGTGCCGTGAAGCCTCCGCTTCCCTCCGTTTCCTCGTGTTGTGTGTCGTGCTGTGGCGCGTACCTGTCCGGGCTGGTGGCTGCGTGTGGTGTGATTGTACATTTCTTTCTCTCTGTTGGTGACCGGGTTCATCTTCTGCGGTCACGGATGATGGAATAAACAGCTGAAGGATGGGTCTGTGTGTGGAGCATCCGTGAACCAGGTGCTCCCTCCAGCCAGGGCCCGGGCTGCGCTCGGAGAGACGCCTGTGTCGCACAGGCCGCGTCGCCTCGCACTTCTGCAGCCAGTGCCTGGCCCGGAGCAGGAGAGCCGTCGTCCTCGGTCTCCTCCGTGGGCCTAGAAAGCCACCAGCCAGGTGTGCGGCCAGTTCCTCTTGCTTCCGAAGCAGCCCCTTCCCGCTGCACGAATCGCTCGGGGGCCAGAGCCCAAGCCCTAGAGTGGGGCTTACCCCGCGGGGTGCTAAGTCTCCTCTGCAGCTCACTTTGGGTTATGGCCACCTTCGTCCTGACCCCAGCCGTCCGTGCAGAGAACAGGGGCAGCCCCACGGTAGGGCTGGGTGGAAGCCCACCATGTGTCTGCCTGTGAGCAGCGGGTCCCAGGTGAGGGGGAGGGCTGGGCAAGCCCAGGTTCACATCGCACCCAGCGGCCACACCACAGGCCTGCTGTCGTCAGGGCTGCGGTACAATGAGTCCCCACCCGGCAGGCGGCGAGCGTGTCCGGCAGGTCTGCGGGCGTGCTCTGCCCTGTGCCGGTCACCGCAGTGACTAGCTCTGCCCTCCAGAGCTGTCCAGTGCCCTGCTCAGGACCATATCGGGCCCAGATGCTTAATTCCATTTACACCTGGCCTTCGAGCTTGGCCCAGTTCCCGCCAGTGTAGACACCGGTCCCCCCTCCTCGGCTCCGCATGAATGAGCAACGGAACTCCCGTTGCCTACACCCTGAGTTTGATGCCGGCCGAGGGTGTGGAGTGAGGACCTGCCTGTCACGGGCTCTCAGGCGATGCTGTGGACGTGAGGCTGTTCTGTGGCCTCAGCTGCTGGCCCGAAGCTGAGCGGCAGGCCTAGGACACTTGTCCGCAGTGAGGAGACCACTGATTCCGAGTCTAGTCAGATGGGTCAGCTGAAGGAACCCGGCCCAGGCAGGCAGCTCACTGGCCCGAGGCCGCTTGGCCACCAACATGGGCCCAACCTTGGTATTGACGTGCATCTCCTTCCGCTCAGGTGCCGGGTTTGTTCCCAGCCGGCCAGAGCGCTCGTCTGAAGCAAGTGACCCCTCCACTCTTCCATCCAGGGAAGCAGAGGGTTGCTGTCCTTTCTGGACAGAGGCCGGACCCCTAATTTCTGAACAAGGATAAGCTGAGCACTTTGAAAACGGAGGAGCAAGTGCCAGGATGGAAGACTGACTTTACAACTGAATACACACCCATGCACGTCCACACACACCTGCACACGTATACACGCACCCATGCACGCACACAGGCATTCACACCCGTGTGCACTTGGATGCACGCACACTCATCCACATGAACGTAGACCCAGAAGTCTGTTCCTGGCATCCGTGAGGAGCAGGTCCCCTCCCGGCAGTGGGCACTTTCGCTCTCAGGAGCCTTCCCTGAGCAGCACCGCCCACAGATGCCCCGTGGGCAAGTACGAGACATTCTCTAGGATGCTCGCATGAGAGTAACCCTGGCAGAGAACGGCCGGCTGATTGTACATTCAAACTGGGATGCGAGAGGCAGTTAAAACGTAGATTTTTTTTTTTTTTAATGCACTAATAGGGAAATATCTGCAGTATGTCCCCAAGGAACCCTCAGAATAGGCCCTTGTCATCATGTGAGCCAGTGTGGGGAGCGAGGCTCCTCGGGGCCCTCACCTGGGCTCCGGGTGGGATATGAGCCCATTTTCACAAAGACAGGTGGAGAACGGGAATGAGGAGGACATTGGGTCCCAGGGTCCCATAGCAGTCAGGGGCAGGATAGAAATCACATTTGTACAGCAGAGTTGGGATGAACCCCAGGGGACAAGCTCACCCAACTCTCCTCACTGTACAGATGAGGAAGCTGACATCCCAAGAGGGCAGGGTCTTTCCAAGGTCACAAGAGAAGCAGATGCAGAGTTAGGCTCCTGGGCCTTTACTCGGGACTCTTAAATCTGCTCTAATAAAAAGAATTCAAGATTTCCTGGCACTGACAGTATGAGCCCCTTTTGGTCTCCTTTTTTAAAAGTCAAGCTAGAGAGAGGAAGTGCACATTGAAAAGACAGAGATCAGGAAATCCCTGATGTGCTCCCTCTGGGGAAGGAGCAGGAGCTCTGGCAAACGGCCCATACAACCCAGCTCAAGGGCCCTTACCTGGAGGTCTCTCAAGAGATGTGCTTAGGAGTGGGGACAAGAAGAGTCCTGGGCCCTGTGCACCCGGAGGGAAGATTAGGAGAACCAGCGGTTTCAGAGTCAACCCTCCCCTCCACCAGACTATGTCCTGTAGGCCACAGGCAGCAGTGCGCAGGGATAAGAGTCCTGGGCATGTGGACACATAAGGAAAAGGTGACAGGTGACCATGGAAGGGCCAGTGGGTTAAATGGAAGCTGCAGCCAGGGGTCTCCACATGGGCTCAAAAGAGGAGACCCTGATCCAGAAGGTACCAGCCTGTCCTGGTGAGGACTGCGTTGCGCACTAGCGGGGACGGGTGTCGGGGGACACACAAGGGCCACAGGTGAGGCAGGTTCTACCAAGATTTGAACTTGGATTGCTGGATTCAAAGTCCAGAGTGTTGACCATTACACCACAGAAACACAAGACACCAGGGCCACCACAGGGCCACCCTTGGCCTGAGTGCAAAAGGAAGAAGGGACACCAAAGTGGGGATGAAGAGACAATAGGGGGAGGGGGACAAACAAGTCATGCAGTGCCACGGAGACCTGAACCGTGATCACTGGATTCAGAGTCCAGAGTGCTGACCATTACACCATGGAACAGGGTGCTGCTGGGCTCTGCACACCCTGATGGGGAAATGGAAGGGGGACAGGGACAGGTCTGCAGGCAACTGCCCAGGAAAAGGTGAGCATGTGGCAGGGGATGGTTTCCATCCATCAGCCTCTGGGTTGGCCCAGCACGCTTCCCCTGCCCCACTAGGCCAGGCCCCAACTGTGAAGTCTGCGGGCCACAGCCCCTCCAGGCCAGGGGGACGAGGCTGGCAGGCCCCGCAGCAGCTGGAATAGGCCAAGGCAAGTGCCCATTGACAAATCAAGTGGACTTGCTTTCCCTCCTTTGACTTTTTGTGAAAAGAAATCTCTGAATTCATGTCCTTTTCTGCTGTTAAAAACAAACCCCTCAAAAGTCAAGAAACAGAACAGTCACGGGCCAGAGTGTCCATGTCACCGGGCTGTGGTGGCAGGTTCGGTAATGTGGTGGCGGTGACTGGGTTTTGGAAAGGAACAAAAACAACATTTCTCCCCATCATTGGAAAATGACTCCTAATTTACATGATCATGAACAAACTCTTCTTTTAATTCTACTTCTTCTCTTGGACTACTCCTTTTCTGTGACCTGCAAAGTTGTTTCTTCAATACAAAACTGCTTTCAAGTGTTTTGATGCCTCGCTGTTCATCTTTATAATTTGAAAAAAAAAAAAAAAACCCATAGACAAAACCCTTTCAAGGAAGTATGAACTGTCCCCCAGAACATTCTGGATACAAATCCTTTAAGTGAAAAAAAAAAAAAAAAAAAACCTTTCACATTGAACCTATTCAAGTAAAAAACCTGTATGGAACTTGCCATTGTAGATAGCGATCTCCTCTCACAAGCCCACAGAAGCATCAGGAAAGAGACGCACAGCCTGAAACTGCCAAGGTCCCACTGCGAGTGTCAGCCAGGATGCTCCAAGGACGTGGCAGCAGGGAGCTCAGGGAGCAGGGTGAGGGGAGGCCCGTAGCACTCCACCACTAGCCACCGCACTGGGTGGCCAGCATGCTGAGGCTCTCAGCCCGCCTGCCGGCAAGAACGTGCCAAGGGGTACTCGGCCTTCCCTTCTCTCTAATCTGCTTGCCTGTGCTTCCCAGTGGCGGCAGCCCCTTGGCTCTCGGCCCTCTAGCTTCCTGGTGAGAAAGAGGTGACTCTGGGGTGCAAGCAGAGACTTCCAGAACTGTGGGGACAAGCACGACCTCAGATGTATGACCGCAAGCGAAGGGCTCTCC